TTTTCATTTATTTGGTAAAATACATTTAGGGTTTAGGGTTTAGCAACTAGAAGAAGGATTGAACAAATATTTTCTTATTCAATTATATTACATCAGAGATGAGCTTTAATACCATATATATTTGCTTTAGGGGTTATCTGATAATGCATTTAGAATGAGATTTAAGCTAAATATTGCCATATGGTCAAACAAGAAGAAGGTGTGGATTTGAGAAATCTAAATTTCACAGATTTCAACTGTAAATCCCATAAATTCTAAATCACACGAATGAGTAGATTTACTGGATTTACCACAAAAGTGATTGGTATCACGGTGCATTTACGCAGAGCTTCCCAAACTGTTTCAAAAGATTCACGATATTTAGAGGTCTTCATTGTCAGACGGTTTTTCTTTCCAGATTTAGTAAATCTGGATATATAGGATTTACTAAATCCTAATAACTTAAAATAATTCTGTTACCAGACATCCCCTTAGTTAAGGATGCTTATTTGGACATTTACAGGAGGATGTACCTTGTTGAATGTTTTTAGTCTGTGATATCTTTCATGTGGATAAGGCTAGAGAAAGAGTTTAGGAAAAAAATAAATTATGGACGTTTACATTGGAGTCTAAAGGCCATTGTTTGAGTAGATCATGAATTGAATACATAAAATGTACTTTTAGTAGTAGTAACTCTAGTGTCAGAGTTGTAACTATGGGTGGCCAAATCATTAAAAGTGTGAATGTTTTAGCTATCTTGGGTCTCTTGTTCAAATTTATGGTGGTATGGATGGGGATGTTATTAGTAGAATTCAAGTTGGTTGGTTGAAGTGGAGAAATGCGTCCGACCTATTGTTTGATAGATAATACCGCTTAAACTTATAAAAAAAAATTTAAGATGGTGGTGAGACCTGCAATGTTCTATGGGGCAGAATGTTGACCTTTAGATTAAGGGAATGTTTGGTTGCAAGCAATATTTTGTTTGAATATGATTTGGCAGAATGTTGACCTTTAGATTAAGGGAATGTTTGGTTGCAAGCAATATTTTGTTTGAATATGATTTAATAAAACCTGCAAATTAATAAAACCTACAAATATGAAGTTATCAAATCCTAAGATGGCTAAATACTATAAACTAATTTGTATTTAAGTAGATATTTTTTGTGGTGCATTGTGTATGGTTGTGAAATTAGCTTGAAAATGATAATCATTCAAAAATTGATTCTAAGTTTAATTTGTACATGAAACTCGAATTGAAATGAATGCGTAGAGCTACAAGCTAGAATTTTGGATCGAATTTATTTGGAACCTACATCATCTTTGTACATGAAACTCGAATTGAAATGAATGCGCAGAGCTACAAGCTAGAATTTTGGTTCGAATTTATTTGGAACCTACATCATCTCGGTTCATTGTCGGATCATTTAACATCTTAGTTATGTTAGTTCTATTGAAGATCATTAATCAATCAAACATTAACTTACAATCCATTAAGACATCTCTCTCTAATAGTGCATGCCACTATAGCTACATCAGTCCTCACATATATATTTGTATCATATTTTGTCCCAAAGTGAAAAGTTAATCATAAACCTAAACATCCTTTACTTTATAACTTTAAACTAGATTAGTTAAACACCTTTAAATAAATTCTGAGAAGGAAGCAGTTCATATAATGTAAGCGTTTTCATTTCTCCAAAAAAAAAAATTAATTTCCATTGCCAAAATGAAATGCCAAAATGAAAAATCACTTTGAACATTATGTTTTACAATTTCATGAACATAATATTCGAAGAGAATTTCCATTTCGATAATGGAAATTAGATATCTCATTGGAGAAAGAAATGAAAACTTTTACATTATATGAAACACTTCATTCTAAGAATTTATTTAGAGGTGTAAAAGTAATCTAATGATAGATGATTTTGAGACAAGAATACTTAGGTGGAAATATAATTGTGAAAGAGTTGGTATAGGTATGGTGACAGACAAGATTAGAGGTAAAATATGAATAAATGTTCGTTGATTATCATTCTTCGACAGCCCTAACAACCTTAGTAGGCTGTTAACATTTTGATTTTCCATTTAACTATGCTTGACTCTAAAGAAATTTGATCAAAAATTTTTAGCATTAAGCTAGGGGCTTTTATTTTGATTCGCTATTTATCATAGTCAAAATTAAAATCAATCAATTTCAAATAATAATCATTGTTTCTTATTAATAAAAAAATAATTTTGTCAGTTTATTTAGACTTTCTGACCTCTTTTTCTAATATTGTCTACAGTTGTATCTACTCTAACCCATTCACAGATATATTTGCTTTGTATTTTGTTTCCAACTGTAAAACCAATTATAAAACTAATCATTCTCGTCACCGCAGTTCCTTACGCGACTAATTGAACACCTTGAAATATTTTCTAAAAAAGAAATATTTCAAATGTTGTAAGAGTATTCACATTTTCTTCCTTTGTGATGTATAATTTCCATATCTAAAATGAAATATCAATTCAAATATAAGTTTCATTTTCAAAATGGAAATTCACTTTAAAATCTAATTTCAATTGCCACAATTCCCCGGGTCATGCACCGGGGAAATCATTGTCAACGAGCGCCCTAAGCTACAACACGAATAAGGTGTCCCGAACCCTAATTTTCTCGTAGCCCGTGTGGGAGGACCTCATGACTTTCTTTGACCACGAGTGGCTCCAGACGGATGTGTGGTAACTTCTAAACACTACAGCAAGAAGTGAATATGTCTCGCATTCTGAATGAGCCTTTTTTATGGCTAGTTCTTCCAGGTAAGGCTAAATCACCGCCAACCTTAGCTCTTTGCTCGAACAAGTGCTAGAGACTCCTGGCTGAGTGTCTTGAGCTACCAAATGCTATGGACAAATTGTAGACTATATCAAATCATGCGAGTGGACACCCCACACTCACAACATTAAAAATTGATGCCACAACATGTGCTTGAAAGATAGTGCATTTTAGAGAAAAAATGAGTAGATCAGCCCCTAAAGAAGCTATTTGACCAGATCCATTCATGGGAACCAAACGCCTTCCCACCCGGACAGACCGAGAAAGTGAAACAACCCCTCTAGTTTCAGAGCTGTTGATGTAGATAATCAGCAAGTAGCCGCCCGACCTTGTGACCGCCTAGTCTGATGGCCACCTGACATAAGGGTAGCCTGATCATATCCATGGGCCCCTAGGTCATATTTATGTATAAACTAAAATATCATTCCCGTACTTACATACTCCAGGGTACAACATGTAATTGTACGAAGACCCATTCCTATAAATATGTTAATTTCATGAATAAAGATTACACAATTTACTGTTCAATACCATGCTATTGCTTTTCCCTTTCCCTCTCTCCAGCTCTCTATTTCTCACGCATGTCTCCTAGCCAATTTCAGATTCAACACTATCAAATTTTTATTTCATGAGAAGCCTTTATTAAGGCATGTTATTATTTATTCACTTCGCTTAAATGTCATATTTCTTACAAATTATGCTTAGATTCCTACTTATAAATAGAGACACCAGAAAAGCTCGTCGTTCGCGAACAACTTGTGTTGGACTCGTTAAATTTTTTGTGCTCAATTAGTTCATTTAGCAAGCGAGCCGAACACTAACAATTATTTTGAGCTCGATTCATAAACGAGTCGAACATGAACAAAATTTTGTTCGTTTATGTTCAGCTCTTTTTGACTCGAAATAATATATATATATATATATAATTTCACAAGTAATATTTTTAAATAATTTAATTTACAAGGCTATAAAGATTTATAATTAATTAAAATTCTTAGTTAAAAAGATAGAATAATTATATTTAAATATTGTTTGAATTTAAATAATATGATTTAAATCTAGTCTCAACTGTTAACATCCTTCGACGGCATGAGTAAGATTGTCAAAATAATTTTCAGTTCACGAACAACTCGTGTTCGGCTCCCTAAACAAACAAACTGAATTTAAACAAATTCTTTGTGTTCGAAATAAAATGAGCGGAACAAAAAAGATGATATCTTTAGACAACCGCTTTTTAACACCCCTACCACATACTAGTTTTTGGATTTACTTTTACGAAACCTCTAAATTAAGCAGTCTTTACCATATTGAGAAGTTGCCAGCTTAATCAATTATATTTAGTAAATTTTGAATAACGTTCTTGAATTTAATAAAATAGCAACAAATTAAGAAGTATTAAAGAGCCGCAGCTTATTCTTTTAATACGTTCTTCCGTTTACTGTATTATTATCTTATCTTACGCAGTCATTAAAAAAAATATAAACATATTATATTTAGGGGTGTAAACGAGCCGCTCGTGTTCGGCTCGTTTATATTTCGAGTTCAGAAAGCGTGTTCGTGTTCGGCTCGTTTGCTTAGCGAGCCGAACACGATTTACGAATAGAGTCGTTTTAACAATCCTAATCACGCAGCCATAAGAATATTACGGATTGGGCAAGATTTAAAACATCATTTGAAACTAATTTAATAATTTTTATTCTATTTTTTTAATTAATACTTTTAATTGATTATTAATCATTGTAGCCTTGTAGTCAATTAATTTTTTTAAAAAATGCTACTCATAATATATATATCTCTTTAATGAGTAGTATTTCCAATCAAAACGAGCTGAAATATTTGTTCGTTCGTGTTCGGCTCGTTAACTTAGCGAATGAGCCGAATATGAGTTCCTTAATGAGTAGAACAAGAGCTATCGGAACAACGAGCCTTTTTGACAGCCCTATATTTATGTGTCTGGTTTTTAAAAGCTAAAAAGTATTTATGTAATAAGCTAACTTTAAAATGTTATGAAAAGCATTAATAATATAAAAATGCTGGGTAGATATGTAAATAAATTAAAAAAGATAAATGGAACCATTTCCCATCAGGTACTATGTTGCGACCCCATCATCTTTCCAATGTGTTTATTTTGCATATTGCGTGCGGCCTCGAGTCTGGACGGCCGATTCCTTCCCGGCTCTCTGTGGGTTCCGGGACCCACAACCTTTACTCTCTAACCGCCACGTGTCATCCCTACCGCCAAAGTGGTCTTCTTCGTACTCTTCTTTTCCTCGAGTCTTCTCCAGCCCCAAGCTGCAATCCATTTCTCCTCAGACGTTACAGCTATATATATATTTAAACGCTCCGATAAGTCGAGGTAGAGAGAGAAAGAGAGAGAGAGCGAGGGAGGGAGGAAGGTAGACGGAACCATCGTCAGCACGCGGCCCTTCATCCTCCTTTGGAGGGATTCTATTTGTTTTTTTTCTCGAGGTGATCAATCATTTCCTGTTATGATAAATTTTTGTGATGTATTGTTCGGCCCGGGTTTGGATTTTTCCGGTGGGTGTTTTGATTTCTTTGTTGTGTGTTCAAAACTTTCGCTAGTTTCCTTTTTGATAGACTGAAATCGTTGTTTGGGGGTGGGGGTATCGGTTCTGCTTCGGGTTTGTTCTGATCCCTCGTTTGGATTTTTGGGGACATATTACTGGTTTTCTTGATGTTTATCTGTCTGTGATTTCGTCCACGTCTTGTTTTACCTCTCTTTGAATGCTTTATGGTGCCTTTTATTGGTTGTTTTGTTTTATTTTTAATATATAGAAAGTGTTTCCAGCTCGATTTATTTGTTATAGTCGCTCAATCGAGTACTTTTTGTGTTTGTTCAGTACGGTATTATAAGACCTATCTAGGGTTTTGGATGCCATTGATCTCTTGTCGTTTGATAGGAGGGGCTACTAAGGAGAATGGTTGGAGGGAGGCCTGTGACTGGGAATTTGGATATGTGGTTTAAGAGTCTTATGGTTTTCGACGGCCGAGGTAAAATCGAAACTGGAGCTGCAATAACGGGGTGGAAGGACCTTCCAATGGAGCTTCTGATGAGGATTCTAGCACTTGGTGATGATCGGATGGCTATCGTCGCATCAGGTGTCTGCACTGGTTGGAGAGATGCAGTTTGCTTTGGGCTTAGTCGGCTCTGCTTGTCATGGTATATAGCTCAATCGTCTGTCTTTTATTTCATCAGTTTTTATATAGTTTGGAATCATACTCGATTGGAGACATCAATTTCCTCTTTTCTTTTTTCTGGCTCAGGTTCTTTTGGGCCGGCAATCTCCTCACCCCTCTTCTTTCATCCGTTTTAAAGTGGAGAATTATGCTCTGCTGAAGCCGCGATTGATTATTTTCTTACTAATTCAAATATTTAAATTAGTATTAATAGAGAGATAAAAAGTAGGAATACAGTTATGGATGCCTTCGATTGAGAATGACTTCGCAAGAAAGGAACTTTTATATGAATTTAACTCCATGAAAACTGAGAGATGAAAGTTTTTTTTTTTTTTTTTTTTTTTTTTTTTTGTTAATTTCCTCCAGAAACAAACGCTTCTTCTTCAACTTGCTTAAATGTTACTCAAATCAAGGCGTCTTGCCTTAATTAAGGGTGCGTATGTTAACCGTATGCCTAACCCAAACACATAGGAAGGGTAATACAGAATATAAGCTTACATTTCAGAGCTTTTATTTTTTAGATGGTGAGCACGACACACTCATATTCTTACTGGAACTTATGAGCTTTAAGATGGGGACCTAAGCACCAACCACTAGGCTATAGGGCGGAGGAGAGTTGCTTTTGCTTTTAATTAACTTATTTGCTTCCTTTCAAGTCATAATTTTTACTTTATTGGAAGCTTCCACTAATCTCATGTTAGGTGTTTCATTTGTTTTAAAATATTGTATTTCTCCTAATGCAGGTGCAAGGAACACATGAACAATCTTGTTCTTTCACTTGCTCCCAAGTTCACAAAACTTCAAGTACTAAGTTTGCGGCAAAACAAACCTCAAGTTGAGGATACTGCTCTTCAGACCATTGCAAATTATTGTCACGATTTGTGTGATTTGGACCTCAGCAAAAGCCAAAAATTAAGTGATATCTCACTGTATGCTTTAGCACATGGATGTCCAAAGCTTACCAAACTTAACATCAGTGGTTGCACAGCCTTCAGTGATTCTGCCCTAGCATATCTAACAAGCTTCTGCACAAAACTGAAATACCTCAATCTCTGTGGATGTGTGAAAGCTGCATCGGATAGGGCTTTGCAGGTATGCTTGCCTAATTCCTTGACTTGAACAATTTTAGAACATTTTTTGAGGCCCTTATGATTACAGGCAATTGCATACAACTGCCGGCAGTTACAGTCTCTAATCCTAGGCTGGTGTGAAGGTGTGACTGATAAAGGAGTGATTTGTTTGGCGCTAGGTTGCCCTGATCTCAGGGCTATTGATTTGTGCGGCTGTGTCCTTATAACTGGTATATCTCTTTATAAATGTGGAATTTATATTTTCAATTCATTGGGTGTATTTTTCATGATTTAGTGATTTTTTGCACTTTGTTGCTAGTTTCTATTTCTTTCTTTCTTATCCTTCCGTATGTTACTAGTTTATTCTTTATGTGTTTATAATCTGTAATCTACTGTACTCCCCACTATAGCAGTCTATGTTCTGAAATTTCTTCTAATGTTATGCTATGATTAAATCTAGTGGAACTCTTGCATGGGCTTGTGTTTTGCTTTCTGAGTTTTTTGTTGGGTGCCATTCTACACAATGCTTATGCTGCCTTGTTTCTTGCACTTGTTGCCATGGGCAAGCATTTGAAGCAAAAAAAAGTAAGGTTTTTATTTTTATTTTCTAAACTCAAAGAAATGAATAAGATATATTATTAATCTAGCTAGGTAAACCAATAACTCAAGTTATGCTGGAGAGACTAATGATACTAATTAACTATGCATGACGCCTCAGTGAAATGCCAAAGCCTGATCATGATTCATGCATGACGCTGTTAGATATGGCTCATATCTAGGGAGTTGGAGTTCTTCTTGATGTATTTTAACATTACCGTCTGTTATCTTTTGGTTTCCTCAGTTTTTTTTTTTTAACAACGCAATATGCTCAATTATTGTCATGGATTTCTCCCTCCCTCCCCTTTTGCATGAAGATTCATACTCTCATGAGGCTGTGCTGACCGCAAACTTCTCTTTAACTGTCTTTCCTACACCACTATTGCTTAAAATACAATGTAGAACACGAAAACAGCGTCCAAGGCCATTGTCTATCTCATATAGGGGTATGTGCCAAGGGCACACCTTTCTAGTTCCATGGTAGTACACACACATTTACTCTTTTACTTAATGTCATGTGCATGTACCTCTAGCAAGATGTTGCAATGTGGGCCCACATTAGTTTTGTTTTGTCCACTAGTTGTGAGTGGTATCACCAACTTTTGTTAACACAATTTCTCTTATTAACTTCTATTTTGCGAAGTACCATTTTTATCAATGTACAAGAAGAGTGGTGGCTAGATGGAAGGCTCCCTTGTTAATATCACCTATAGTAAATATTTTTTTACTTATTTTAGCCTTGGAGTTTTGCATCTCCAACAAAGAAAAGAAGCTACAATGAATTGCTCAAAAGTCTATTTTGATGCTCAACACTAAAATCTATATAACATTATTTTTTGAATTATTGTCTAATAAAATCACCTTGAAATCTCAAGGACAATCTCTAACCATACGCCATTTTTGAGGCGGTTCTTTATTTTTATAATGTTTGATATAAATGTTAAGTAGGTCGATATGTAATATTTCATAAGACTTTGCATGGCACGCCCATAGTCGCATTACTTACGCCATTTCTTAGTGAGTCATGAGGGATAAAAATGGTGGACTTTTTGCATTTTGTGCTAGCAACAACATAAGGTACCTTGTTAGCGTAGACAAACATGAACGAAGTTGGCGCAAGCGGGCAAAGTTGCAAACTCTTCGCTCTCTCAGCTTCAATGCTATTAGACAATCCATTCACCTGTTGGTTTGTGGCTAGTACTGAAGCTCTTCACACTCAACTTCTATAGATGAGGTCAATAAATTTGGTACATGTTTTTAATTTTGATGTAGGCGCTCTTGGCTTTATTACTAATGCACAAAAGCTTCTACGCTCTCAGGCTTTGACACTGTGTTACTCTTTATTTTTTACTCTTACAGTTGGCATTGTTTTTTTTTTACCCTAATAAGTTTTTATTCAAATCTAATTTTTTTGAGAATTATTTTAACAGTACTTATTTATTTAATTCATTAGTTTCATTATATATATTAAAATTAAAGGAGCATTATTTGTCTTCCTACGTGTTAATAATAAAAAAAAATGTACAAAGTTCGGTGGGAGAGGATCCCCAACTAATAATAAAAATGAATACATAACACACTCATAATAGGAAATCCTCATCGGCTTACAACTCTACCCAAAGCAATAGAGAGAACATATACCAAAATCATAAAGTATACCCAAGCATAAATAAATATATCAAAACCAAAAAATTAACCAACAAAGTCGAATAAATAAATCCAAAGTTATCCAGGGTGTAGCAATTGTAGTAGGCCAAAAAACTCGATGTGCCGCCATATTAGAGTTCTGTGTTAAACAATGCAGGCCCCAAACATCGTAAATAGAAAATGCATCATAACCGAAATCATGTGTGGAGGTAATGAAATCCTCAATAGGAAAATCCCTGCAGGAAAATTGAGTATACCAACAGAAATGGCTCCAAAAGACGATGTGTGCGTATCCTACAAATAAAATAAAACCAGCAATACTGATAGAAGTGACAAAAGAGAGCATTCCAGAAAAGGTAGTTTTTGACCAGAAGAGATGAAAACATAGGCAGGCATAATAACCATAATTAAAATTCCTGTCTCTGCTAATGATAGGGATAGTCTCAATAATATCAAAAACGTTATCTTAGCCCCCACAAAAGAAATGAGAGACGATAATTTGATCCAGTAAGAAGAAGGCATCCAAATATGATAAAGCAGCTAATAAAAATATCCCCAGCTGAAAAAAATAAGAATTTGGGGCAGATCTAAACCAAATTTACGCCTCTTGTACCCAATCCGATGGAATATATGGCAAACAAGTTCAAGTAATTTAAAGTTCTGAGAGGTGGTGTATTTTAACACCCAGCCCCTAAACCAATATACTACACACACACACACACACACACGAATTTGGTGGCGCGCGCGCGCGCGCGCGCGCACACACACACACACACACACACACATACATAAACAATGCTTTTAATCAATATCATTAATATTTTGCATTATGTTTAAGATCTCACGCATATGCTTTTAATCAATATTATTAATATTTTGCATTATGTTTAAGATCTCACGCATTAAGTCGTGCTATTTTTATATAGCTCAGCTGGGACATTTGTGCTATGATGTAGTATTTGCCTTTGGCATATGATCCGTTTTGTAGCATGATTAATTCTTCTGCCTTCTGCTATTTTTTCTGGGTTGTATTATTTAATTGGATGTCTGTATGTAATGCATTATATATTATTCAGAGTTTTATGTTTTAAATAAATATCTTGATAAATTTTATTGTTTACGTATTTCTTTACTATATAAAGTGATGTTAGTGTATGGATGGATGTTAGTTATAGTAATTATTTTAATTTGAGATGTTACATGTTATTTAATTAACTGAAAAAATACGGTTTTCTTTTTTCCTCTTAGCTCGATTGATGTTTGGCTTACTGTCTTAATGATGCGTTATAAATTAGCTAAGCATGGTACATGGTTCTGTCTCAAAATAAATATAGAACGCAAAGATGAATTTTGGAAGCAGTCATTTACTTGAATGTTTTCAGCTAGTTCCATACTTTTTTGTCATCTTTTCTGCTTAATTGTTGGTATAATTTCTAATAAGTTGGATTATATTACTTTTTTTCTCCTAACATATCATGATGTTGTTAATTCATATTGTCGGCACGTCTTAACCTGCTTATTATTATTTTTTTCAAATCTCAACTGTGAAGCTTGTTTAGCTCTAGCCAGTAGTCCTCTCTTTTCTTTTTAGTATTGACTGTTTTTTTCCTATGTTTTGAACCTGCATTATTACTGGTTCTCCTTTTAGTCCGCATAGATTGGAATGGATGCCCATCATTGTTTTATGCGCTTGTTGTTTAATTGGCTATCTATATTAAAAAGTGTTTCTTGCCAACATTTTCATCCAACCTTTACACTATTCTTACTTCCCTTTGCCATTTGTTTTTTTTAATATAAAATATTAGATAGAGGCTTGTGCTAAATTGGTCTTAGCAAGTATTTGACCGAAAATATATTTTTTTTGGGTAATACGTGATCCCGTTTAGCTTATACGGATGGTTTATATAAAAGATAAACCTATCAGGTAATCTAATAATTCTTATTGTTTTTATTTAATATGAATATTTTTAATTAGCTCTCAACAAGAATGATTGAAGAATGAGGAAAGTTGATTTCGATAATTGGGGTAAATTTGATGATGATGACGGCCTGTATTTATGATCTAGATGAAACCCTTCCATTCCTTTTCGAAGGGTCCTCCTATCTTTACCTATGTGGAGGTGATAATTCCATTCTAAAAATTATAAGGGTGCATAGGAGAATTTGGTTGTGATTTCCATTGAATATGTGAACAATATGATGGTGTTTAAATATTGTATTTACCCTCATCCATAAGCTTAAATATTTGATAGAAAATAATTTTGACTATTAGTATATTAGACCTCTTTGATCCATATTCTAAAACAAAATGTGTTGTCATAATTAAAGACTTGGTTTGGATTAAATAGTTCATTTGTCTCTCATGGGCACAGGCTATTTTATCATGTACATGCAATGTTCAAGATCGAACAACTCGCACACAAACTCCTTGTTGTTAAGTGTTCTCTTGATGCATGACATTTTGATGGTATAAAAAATTTCTCTTTTAAGGGAAGTGATGGCTAATATGGGGTGCTTTCACTTATAGAGAGATTGTTAAGGCATGTGAGAGTATCAAATAGCTGAAAATTTGTGTTGGCCATCACCTGTACGTTTAATCCTTTAATTTATATGTTGAATTTTTCCATGCGTATATCATACCCAATTTTGATTTCCTTTTATCCGTACACTAGCAAAAACTAGTTAAGATTGATTGTCTTGACGACTTCGAAGCATTGTCTGCTAGAACCTGTTGAAACATTTATTATTAGTAGATTTAGCTTCTTGAGATGATGTCAGATATAACTTTCCAAGATTAGGAAGTTAATAGTACTAAATCCAATATTTCACTCTTAGATTTGAGGGACTGTTGAGGAAAAATATTTAGTGGGGGAAGAGCATGCCTTGTAGTGTTTTTCTTTTTTTTTTCCTTCTCTTTTTATCCCTTTTGGATTTACCTCATCTTTGTGGAAAAAAATTGGATGGTGGAGGGATGTTGTGGGTGGAGTGATTATTGTTTTCTCCTATGGTACATGGGTCCCTTATCAATGATATTGATAAATAATTTGGTAACATTGATTTCATTAATATCAAAGTTAAATTCATTGTTGTTCTCCTAAGGTTCATTTGCCCCTAATACAATATTGCTCTAATTTAGGTAGCAAAGATTTCATTAATATCCAAGTTGAATTCATTCAAACATTTAAGGGACTATTTTGCTGTAGTTTGGATTTAACCTAAATGGATTTAGTAAATTTTGTAAATTCGGATATGATAACTCCCTAGATATTTAAATTCTGAAAATTGTTTGGTATAAATATGTTAAATCAAATTAATTCTCGTGAAACTTTTCGATAACTTATTTCAGCCTTTTAAGTCGTTAGTTTAAACATGAATTTAATATTATATGTTGACAATTTTATTATTAAGGGTCTGTTTGGGGCAGCTGTTGATTATTTATAATCTGCTGATAAACAAATTATTTTGATAATCTGCAGATTATCAGAATAAGCTGGCTTGCTGTTTGCTTATTTAGAACAGCTTACAGCTTAGTGGGAGCTGTTGTTGGATAAATGATCATTCTGTCGCTGTTTGGTTAAGTTGTTTGCAATAGAACTGAAATTAGAACAAAAGTATATAATACGAGGCGATCTGCGATGCGAGGCGAGGGATCTGCGATTCTCCTTGCGAAGGAGCGGAGGAGATCGAGGGAGATCTACGATTCTCCTTTATGCGAGCCGAGCGAGGCGGCGATTCTCCCGATCAATTGATGGAGATCTGCGACGATTCTCCTAGGGCGAGCTGAGGGATCTGTGAGGCGAGGCGGCGATTCTCCGAAGGAGGGCAAGGGAAATATGCAGGGCAGCACAAGAATTCTTCCCCTAATCGCAAAAGTCAACGCGGGACGCGGGGGATATCCAGCTTGCGAAGATACGAAGAAAATCACGATAATAAAACGCCCCGCCACCAAAAATCCAGAGCCATCGCGATTTTCAAACGGGAAGGAGGCGTTCTGAAAACTCCGCCGCACCCTATAAGCTGCCCCAAACGGGCACCAAGTCTAATTAAATTAGTTTAATTTTTAATTTCTAATTATATTTGTAAATAGTTAACTATTTATTAAGCTAATTAATCATTAATAGAACTTTTGTTAAACTAATTAGTTAGTTAGAAGTACTTAACATTCATTAATTATCAATTAAATATTTATTAAACTAATTTAAATTAATTAGATTTTATTAAACTTATTTTAACATTAATTTTTAATTAGTAATTGAACTTTAACCAATAATTAGTCATTAATAATATTTTTAAAATTAATTTAAAATAATTGTATTTAATTTTATTAAATTAAAAAATATTAATAGGTAATATTAATTAATAATGTTAATTAATAATGTTAATTAGAAAGGTTGCTTGAAATTTTTAATTATAACATTTATTTCCAATTCAACTTAATTTATTTCTAGCTTTAATTAATACTTTTTTTTTATTTGGATCAAAGTCAAGGAGTCAAGCTTGACTTGGATCAAACTTGTTAGTCATTGTAACTATTGGATCTCATTGGTTATCACAGCAAGGTGCAATTTCGAAGAGGATGACAACCATGTTTAGGATGCATGCAAACCCTAAAAAGGCATGGGCTGGCATCACCGAGGTCCATTTCCTTTTAATCTTATTCACAAGAGAACTGCTTTAACTCACATTGATGCTCAAGGTCATTGACATTGTGTCAGCAAAGCTCCTGAGCAGATACTTAGCCTATATTATGTCGGGGAGGATGTAAAGATCAAGGTTCATAAATTTGCTAAACGTGGATTTTGATCTCTTGTTGTTGCTATTCAGGGTGTTCCTCCTCCAGAGTTTTTTTTCCTGCATCAGGCCCTCCAAAGTTTCTTCCTGCCGCAAGCCTACCTCTGGAGCTTTTTCCTGCAGCAGGTCTGCCTCCGGAGCTTTTTCTTCTTTTTCTACAGGTCATACCCTGCAGTTTTTTTAAAGGCTGTCTACTTCCCTGCGAACTCCCTTGCAATAGTACATGTAGGAGTCTTCTGTCTACTTATAAACACTGCAGGAATTATAGTAAAAAACAACCGTAGTTGTCTACTTTCCTGCAACATTACCTGTAGGAGTCTTCCGCCTATCTACAGACAATGTGGGAACTGCAGTCAAAGACAATTGCAATATGGGAAAAAAATTTCAAATTCTACTTCACAGGATCTCCCTCGCCTATTGCTTGATATTTTCAAATCCAAGTAGAACATGGTTTCAATCATATTTCATCTTGAGGGAAAATGTTAGAAGTTATATTAGAAAACAATTTATTCTTGTGATAAGTTATAAGGAATAAATTATTTCCTTAGATTTAGACTAATTTCCTTTCCCATTTATATTTATTTTCTTGGATTATGAGTTATTTTCTTTTCTATTTTAGGTTTTTATATTTTATGTTCTTCTTTCCTTTTATCTCTAGTTATTTAATATAAATTGATTAATTGGAGATATTAGGTGATATCTTTCCTTTGATATTATTTCTTTTTTTTATTGTTTTATCTATTCTAGGATTCATGTAAGGGTTATTTATACTCCTTTCATATCAATAAAATGATTCTTATTTTTGCTTAATTCCGTATTACTCTGAATTTCAATGGCTTGTTGGACTAAAAATTTGTTTTAAGTGATTTGAAAATTAATCGCGATCAAATCAAATTTTGGCTTTAATCATACTCGAACGTTAGTAAACCATGATCTTGCAACTTATAATCAAACTTGCACAACTCGAGAATGACTTTGATCAATTTTTTGAGCTGGGGTTGAATCAACTTGAGATCAGATCATTAGCAAGCTTTCAAATTTAGTCAGGGTGAAACTATATTATTAGAAAGGATTTATAATAAAATTAGGTAGAATAAAGACCGAGTCGGCTTCTATTTGAGTAAGAGTCATTGGTTTTTAATATTAGCATTTTGAAGTCTTTGTTTCTTGTGATCTGGCAACTCCATGTAAGTTTTTGCCTTCTCTCTTTGTCCCCATCAGCTACAACTTCAATTTAGCGACCCTCATATAGCTTTTTGTCTGTTAGCTCTTCTTTGGCTTTTTCTTCGTGACCCTTCTTGTGACTTTGACTGTAGTAGTTTTTTAAATTTTTTCTCACGGCTTGTATTGAGCCTTCAACACTTGATACTATTACTATGGATCTTCCGAACCAGGTATTGTTATTACAGCCTTTTCTTTACGGTTGATTAATGGGATTTTCCATTTGATTTTATGAGTAATAAGGGGATCCGAGGCATGTGCAATAACTTAATTTGTGCTTATTTCCGGAATTAAATTTCTTGTTGAAGTCAGATATCTAAAGATTCAGGAAAGGTTACCTCCTTGTTCAAGCACTTGATTTTATTTACTAATTACTAGTCATCTTGTTTTTTTTCTCTTTCATGTTTTGTCATTTGGTTGTCAAAGTGATTATATGGAGTCAAGCTTAATGTAATATTGTTTTTATAAGTGCATGAAAAATGTTTGTTGCTTTTAATCCATAATTTGTTGTCTTTGGTTTATAATAAAAACAATTTTCTTTTCTGAGTTGATTTTCATACCTGGTTTAATTTTCTTCTATTGTATTAAATATCTGTGTAAGATAGCCGTTTGTGGTTTGTGAATTTTGAACGTTTGTCGGGGCAGTCTTCTTCACTGTATGTTTGATCTGAATTAGAAATTCCAAACTCTTAACACCTTCGTCAATAAGGTTATATAAATAGAGCTAAACTATGTAAGCATTGTACAATAATGAACAAAGAGGCACTACTAAGCAGAAATAGTATAAAGTGGAAGGAATATGAAGGGTAACTTTAAACTAAGAGGGTGTTTGGCAGCGCCTAAGATTCAAGTTAAATAGGATTTAGTAAATCCTTATGATCTGGATTTATTAAATCCGGATGTGTTAAATCCAGAATAATGTTTGGTTCGATTAATTTTAAATTTGATTAAATCCCTTAAAGTGTTTGGTGATGAGGGAAGCCTTTCTAACTTAAATCCGTTAAATCCACCTAAAAACAGGATTTAATAAATCCAAAATTTCCGTTAAAACAGAGAAAAATTCTGATTTAAGTTCTGCTTTTTCGCATTTGGCGGGATTTACGTTATTCCTTGCGTAAATTCTGCTTAAAATGGCATCGCAAACACCGCCGAAGGTTAACATGGTTAGAAGTTATGAATGAATTCATATTTTTATCTTTGAGCCATATGCTTAGCTAAAGTTTCCTCTGTCAAATTACAAATCCGTGCCTTGAAATCTCTTTGAATGGTAGGAACAGAATTACTTAAAGGAGAATCACATATTGGCTGATGTGGATATTGTACCACTTTCTTTCACACGTTGCTTCTACCAACTTCCTCACGTTCCACTTTTTCCTAACTGTTCTTTAGCGCATATAGATTTGGTTTTCCTGATTTAGGGGTGTCATAACATGCCATGTTTGCCAAATGCATCTTGCCATATTGTTTTGCCAATTTTCCAAATTAAATCACTTGGTGATATTTTTGAGGTTTTTCAATCGAGTCTTCTCAACTCCTGAACGCAGTAGCTAGGATGAAATCTCTATTATTTGTTATTAAAATGCCCATATGAAAGTTTTCACTCACCTGATGTTTGGTGGCCACAGATGAGAGCGTGATTGCTTTGGCAAATGGATGCCCTCGACTGAGATCCTTAGGCCTATACTATTGCCAGAACATTACTGACAGAGCAATGTACTCCCTGGCCAACAGCCGCCTGAAGAGCAAGCACTGTTCATGGGCCTCCATTCATGAAAGTAGCAACGGCGAAGAGGGACTCATGAACCTCAACATCAGCCAGTGCACGGCTCTGACCCCTCCTGCCGTTCAGGCCGTGTGCGACTCCTTCCCTGCGCTCCACACCTGTCCCGAACGGCATTCCCTCATCATCAGTGGCTGCCTCAGCCTGACAGCAGTCCACTGCGTTTGTGCTGTTCAGAATCATCGCCCGGGCAGAGCAGGGCTCTCTCACTAAAGCTTTTTACAGCTGCTGTTGATAAGGATCTTGGAGGAGAAAAATGGTTTGTACATATTAAGTATTATGCAAATGCCCGGGTTTAAACTGTGCCTGGGTGGGGTTGTTTGAGCTTGGATGGTAGGTATAAACTAGTGAGCATCATTTGGAATGTTGTTTTGGGTATATTTTATTAATTTCCCTGTCTTGCAACTTTGTCTAAGGAGTTGTGTTAGTCCAGCATATTATTTTTGAGTTATTTATAGATATGTTTAGCATTGAGGTTGCTAGCTCTTTATGAAACTGAAGGTGGGCTCAAGTTTATTTATCGGTCAAGTAGCAGGCAGCTCTTTAGATAAGACTGCATATTCGGTTCTGATTTTGAATCTTCAATTGAGGCCATTACATACAGACCACCAGAAACATTCTATTTACAAATCAACCACCCTCATTCATTTTTTTTTTTCAATTTCTCGCTCAAATGTCTAAACTCATGGCTGCAGAATTTCCTTTTGGCAGGCCCCACATTTATCAAATTCTCACTGAAGTTTCTAAGCATATTTGTTGGTAGGCCCCACATTTATTGTCCTTGTTAAAATCATGCAAACATTCGTGTCGAAGATACAAATCTCGCCCAAAGTAGACCTTTACGAGAAAGCAACCTAACAACACAAATAAAAAGGATAGCTCATAATAAATAACATCTTTTATTATATATAGGGATATTTACGTACCATATAATTAATGGTTCTATATGTCTTTGATATTTACATTGACTGAACTTTTGGTGTTATAAATTTATACATGAAGATTTTATTTGACATTTTGAATGTTAATAATAATAATATATTTGATGTTCTGTTAAAAAATTGAGTCTTACCAGTGTAAATATCAAAGTTTAGAAGTTAGATATGTGAATATATAAGAATTGTGTGGTATGCATGTGAATGCCCCTATTATATATGATTTAGAGTTAGTATTAATTGTTGTGTAATTTAAGGCGAAGAAAAATAAGAATTAACACAAAATCAGAAGAACATAGAGATTTAATGAGGTTCGGCATAGATGTCTACAGCCTCGGGAGCAGAGCGGTGAATTCACTATTTTAGAGAAGTTACATATTCATAGGGTTACACATTTATTTATAGATAAAACTCACAGATAATTTTACAAACACGCTCTCGCTCCCCGAACCCACTAATCCAAGAGATATCTCTTTACACTAAGAGACACGTCTCCAAATCCAAGAGACTCCAAATGCCTGATATATGAGTCGTACTTAACAATTCTCTGCTTGGCGAATATCTAACCCCTTAGGAAAAAATCTTCACCTTGCGAATACTCAGCCCCTTAGAAGAAAAATCTTCACCTTACAAATATACAGCCCTTAGGAGAAATATATTATGGAGTTTCTTATAACAAAGTGGGTTGGACAAACATGTCAACTAGCAACTGCAAACATTCAACAAGTTTAAGTAACACAAGAATTTGTTAAGAATGCCTGGTTTGGTCAACTTTCCTGCTGCATTTTCATCATATGATTCGACAAAGTGAACTTCACCTACAACTGTGCTCCCCAACAGTTTATAGATATTACCATCAGATTTCATAGCTCGCAATATCTTTAAAATTATTTATAGTGTCAACAAATTTATCACCCTTATTTGCCACAATCCGAAGTTCTTTGTTTCATCGAATTTAATCATCTTGAATTTTGCACCAAATATTGTCATTTGAAATTAATTCTGCAATAAACTTTTCCTGTCTTTTATTAAAACAAAACACACCACAAATAAATTTAAATAAACCTGAAATTTCATGTCAATTGCAGCAATTTTTCTGCAGTTTTCTGTGATTTGTGAATCAATTTTTTTACACGAAGCACATTTTCTGTTCGCACAAAAATTTGGGTGAAATACTGTGAATTCAGCCAAATTTCACCTTTCACAACAAATCTGCGAAAAATCAACGAAATTCGCTAACTCCACCTCTCACCATTTTTCCTGTGACAAACTTTACACGAAGCACATTTTCTGTTCGCACAAAAATTTAGGTGAAATACTGCGAATTCAGCCAAATTTCACGTTTCACAACAAATTTGCGAAAAATCAACGAAATCCAACTCCACCTCTCACCATTTTTCCTGTGACAAACTTGCTGTTCACGGAACCAAACTCCACCTGGCGAACAGCTCCAGGCGAACTCGCTCTGCGAACACCCGGCGAAACTGCTCCCTGTTCGCGCCTGTTCAAGCCTGTTCGCGCGGGTTGATTTGCTCCGCGAACTTCTCGGCAACTGTTCGTCCTTCTCCGCGGCCTTTTGACTCCCTCTCCTCTTTCCTTCCGCGGCCTTCTAAAAAATTCTTCTCCGTAGAACTCCTCCCACGACAAAACCTCGCCAAACACCTCGGCAACTCTGGCCCGAAACTGCCGCAGAACTGATTGCAAACGGCTCCTCGGAAAACTTTTCTGGC